ACTATGTGAAAAGACGTGCAAACGACCCAGCGCAATAAGCCCAGACTATTGATGGCATACCAGCTAAATTAACAGGCGATGTGTTACTCAGCAATGATATCATTAATGGATGTGCTTGTTTGAATGAAGAACAGGACAATGAGAAATGTGAAGATTATAAAGTCAGATTCTGTTGTCCTGGTAAATCAATATTCAAATATTCACAACAAATAATATATAATATGTTTTTACGTTATTTTCATTGAATATTTTAATTTGAGTATTACTTTGAATTGAATACTTATTATAAGCGAAAAACTGTCTCGTCTCATTAACAATTTTTTTCATTTATGTAATATCACTATACAGAACAGCCAGATTGTGACAAGTTGACAAAATGGTTTAACACCGATGAACCACGTGAAGGTTCAGATGCAGATCGTGAAATCACTGCCGTAATCCAAGATGAATATCCAAATGAAATGTGTAAAAATCCGTTATTCATCCAAGTTGTTGTCGCCACCACTGAACAACCTTCATCAAGCACCGGACAGGTATTAATACATCACGATGTCGATCCTGGATTTGTTTGTCTTGACAAAGAACAGCCAGCTGGTGACCAATGTCATAATTACAAAGTTCGATACTGTTGTGATGGTACGTATTTATATACATTGATTATGTTAAAGCTGGAAGGTCGCGTGGGAATTTCCAAGCAACGATAACAGCACACGCTAATAACGACTCATGGGTAGACGTTTGTTTATAAACAATGACACGCTATGACCATCTGACGCATGCGCAGGTGACGAGTCCCCCGCTTCAACTATTACCTACAAACTTGTCATTCAATTACTCAGACACAATTGGGATTGCTGCACTCGTACCTGAACACCTGAGTGTTGCCATGAGGTTTTTATTGTATATATGCAAAATTAATTTTTCTGAACGCCACAATGATTCTTTCCAGAACAACCTGATAAATCCGGACAATGCCCAATGGTACCATCCATCGACGCTGTCCGTCCAAAGGGTTACTGCTATTATGAATGTCAAGATGATACCGATTGCCAGGGAAAGAAAAAATGCTGTGCTTCTGGAATATGTGGCACCATTTGTATGGATCCTGTGTTCCCTTCTTTCCATGAGGGCGTGATTTACCAGGAGGGCGATGGCAGAAAAGAAGACTGCAATACATGGTAGGTCATTAGTGCAGGATAAAGCCAGAAAGAGCAAACAAACAGTGTTAGTATTACAGAAATGAGTGAGTGTCAAACAGCTCTACAACTTATGATACACCGTACAAGTCCTGCTGGGGCTTATTGTTTTTATTTCCCAATATTCGTAATTCGTATCACATATTATGCCAGTTTATTCAAACCATTTTCAGATGGTCGGTTACTATCATTATGTTAACATAACATAACATGTTATTGAACTGCGAAAAAAAACAATATTTGGTTGCTATGTAAAACAATTTTCCAAATAAAAACAAAGCCAGCAATGCTTCGATGTCATGTAATCGAATAGCCGTGACTGTCGCCACCGGTCGTATTATAAGCTTCATAATGTGTAACCGGGGCTTAAATTCCGCTGCTAGGTATATCGATCATTTGGTGTCACATCTCTCAATTTTCTATCCTTAGCTGTATTACTTATATATTGTTGAACTCAAACAATTGAGTAATTTACAGTAATGTGGCGGTTGTGCCGACCGACACTGTTTTTTGCAAATACAACACAGTTCTTATTAACCAGATTTTGAGTCATATAGTTGTATCATCAATATAGCTTTTGAATACATACGTTTAACAACTTATAAACGTTAAAACGCTACATTTCTCATGTTGGATCACGAGGGCGCTGACAGATGGTCATTTCAATGTTTCGATATGATCTTATGAGAAATGCATTCTGGATGCTAATAGGACCCTTTTCTTCATATGCAATGTCAAGGGAATTAAGAAAGAAATGTAAAAATAATAATTTTGCAAAA